CCCTCCACTCTGGGATTATTGCGGGTGCTCTAGGCCCTCACCCCTTCGGCCTGGCGGTGCCCTTACAATGATTGTGCATAGAATAAAGGCCAGGATCGCTGGGGAGAAGGCAGCCCCTCCTTGCAGTGAGAAGGGAAGGGTGGAGGTGGCCAGGCAGGAGGGAACTGCCCCTCTCTCCCTGGGGAGTTTTCTGCTTCCAGGAACCAGGCCATCCCAGACAGAGCCTTCCTCTCTCACTTCCCTTCCTCGCCTTGCCTCAACCTGAAGCATCCAAGAACCTGGGAATGTCCCAGCTCCTCCCCAAACAGAATGGCACACACCATTCCTTTCCCCGCCAGCCCCGGGGTCTCAGAGGCCCCTCTGGTTGGGAAGGGGGCACTCAGGCCCCATCCCCGCTGCTGCCCACATGGCTTGGCCCTCAGCCCCTTTCGTTGAGAAATCACAAAGCACCTCAGTATGAAAATGGATAGTTCCTCTCCCTGCGGACCCGACCTCCAGCTTTACCTGGGAGGGAGATGGGTGTCAAAGGGTGGCAGGGGCCAGCACTGAAAAGGGCAGTTGGGTTCTGGCTTTCAGTCCTCATCCTGAACGTGGACTCTCCTCCCACCCCATGCAGGTTCTTCCTAACCAGGGGCCCCCAAACTAACTTCATCAGGCCCTGGGGGGTCTCTAGCCTTTAGGCTTAGCAGATGGTGATTCCTAACTCAGGGGCCAACTCTTAGGTGGCCAGGTGGTGAAAGTTGAGGGTTGGACTGGAAAAGTCTCAGAGGAAGCCAGGGCCTCTGTCCTTGACTTCCTCAGAGGGTATCCAGGAGCTGTAGGGCTCCCCAGAATGTTCTCATTTTGAACCAGAGATTCCAAACTGGTGACCCGTGGCCCAAATATAAGTGTTTCGTTTGGCCAGCTCAGGATTTTTCAAATATTTGAATTTTAGTACCTGTAGGCAGGGTATGCACTCTGGTCTAGCACCACCACCTGAAGGCATTTGAATTTGCAACCCATGCACCCTACTCCCCAAAACCTTCTCCCCACTGTCTGAGGCTTCTGTCCACTCCACGCCCAGGTGAGCTCCATGGAAAAGACCTTCAGAACTTCGGGGCTGCCAGGCAAGATCTTCCTTGGATGCACTGTCCCTTGAGATTCACCCTGAGACCCAGACATTCCCCAGCCTTCCCTTCCCTACTCCGCTTTCACCAGTTCTCACGGGTGACACACTCTGTGGGACACACTTTTAGCAGGGAGCTGGCTAGGGGAAAGGCAGATTTGGGAGTTGAGGCAGATGAGAGGAGGGGAGCAGAAGAGACTTTGTTGTTGGGAGTCCCTTGCGTGGAAGGTGGAGGCTTGTGTGTTTGGCTGGGATGGCGATTAGAAGGCACATGGTACATCAGTGCATGGAGGTATGACAAGGGGTGGGTGGTGCCTGGAGAGGTCTGGGGAGCACAGTCAGTAGTAGCCTGAGGGGTGGGTTCCGGAAAACTAGGAGACAGAAGTCTGTCCTGGACATGGGGACACCTGTCTCTTGGGGATGAAGATACTGAGGACAGGGCAGGGCCTGGCATATTGGGTACCCAGAGCATCCTGTTCTCATCTATTCCTGGAGAAATTAAGCTGCCTTAGCCGGTTTGGGTTGGCGGATAGAGTGTCGGCCTACAGCCTGAAGGGTCCCACGTTCAATTCCGGTCAAGGGCACATACTGGGTTTCCCGCTCAATCCCCACTAAGGGGCATGCAGGAGGCAGCTGATGGATGGTTCTCTCTCAACATTGATGTTTTTATCTCTCTTCTCCCTTCCTCTCTGAGGGGGTGGGGGGTGGGGGAAAGACCCAATTTTGTCTCAGCTCCAGGAAAAGTCTTACCATGCCACTGACTTCCTGTGTGATCTTGGGCAAGTCCCCAGCCCTCTCTGGGCCTCCTTTCTCCTTCACCAGAACAGTGGATGTGGAGGGCGGATGGCTCATCATGAGGACCCCTCTGGGTTGTGGTTCTGGAACCTGCTCTCACTGTAAGGACCCTGTAGGGTTTCTGGGAGAGGACTGAACAGCTAGGCTGGAGTGGGGGCAGAAAATGGGGAGCAGGAGTCGGGGGCTCAGGGGATCCAATTCTGGTGGGGAAGAGACTGGCTGAGGTAGATTGTCACAGAAACAAAAGCAAAACAACAGCTGGAATGGGATTGTGCCCTTCTCCACTGAGACAGAGGACTGGCAAGGACCAGACGAAGTGGAGGACAGGCTGGTGGAGAGGGACCTCAGGCCTGGAGGGGTGGGATCTTGAGTTCCTGGGGGTGAGGGTGGGGGAGTCCTTAAGGGGCTAAGGTTTTTCCTGAGGATGAGAAGCAGGAGGAGGTGCCGTGGCCCTCTCTGAGGGCCGATTCTGCTGGTCAGAGGTCTTGCAGCAGAGGTCCAGAGGGAAGGTTTGTGGGGTTGAGATGAGGGGGTGGGGATGGAGTAAGGTCCAAAACTGTGGCCAGGGTTTCCCCAGGAGCCTCTAGCCCTGCCTCAGCACTGCCAGCTCTGGATTCTCCCTCTTCGCTGGGTCTCTCACGGAGCTGTAAGGACTCCCAGCTCCTAGAGAGGTTATTTTTTAACTTTTCCTTTTAGGATGCTGGAGAACGGATGCCAGATGAGTGGACCCTGGGGAGTAAAATAACTTTCCAAGGGTGACCACATGTCACATCTCTGAGCCTCAGTTTCCTCCTCTGTGAGATGGGTTGATAGCACTTATTTTTTAGGGAAGCTGCAAGCCAGGGAAAGTTTAAGTGAAACAAGGCGGGGTGAAAACTGGCATGGTCAGCCCTGGAGAAACAGCCGGGAGGATCTGGGTCCACAACCTCAATGCGCCACCTCACAAAGGGCTCTAATGTGTGTGTAACTGGCCGTGAAATTCAGTCTCCAAAGATTGGCCTGGGCAGATCCAGGAGGGTGGGTGAACAAACCAAAGGGAGGCTGGGTCAGCCACAGGCTTCCCCCACCACCTCTCCCCTGGAGGCCTGGTTCCCCAGCGTAATCAGGGATTAGGGACAGAGAAGAAAGAGGGAGGAGCATTCTTCATGTGTTGGTGGGAGGAACACACAGTGTCTCAGCTGGTGTGCCAGGGGGTGAGGTGACTTGTGGCACAGGTTTCATGTGTGCTTATATGTGTGTGTTTATATGGGTGGTCCTGTCCTGTCTGCCTTTGGGGTCACCCTGCACCCCCAGTGTGGCCCTCTCCCTTCATCCTCAGCAAACCCCCTATCACCCATCACTAGCTGATGGAACAGCAGGAGTCTAAGACCTTGTGAGACTAGCTGCCTCTTTGGGCCTCAGTTTCCCATCTGTAACCCCAGGGAGGCTGAACTAGAGAGGGTTAAATGCTCCTCTCATTTGCATAGTCTAGGATCCTCACGGGGCACCTCACGCCCAGCCCAGGCCTGCATCCTGCCTGAACATCACCCACTGTGTCCTTGCAATGAACACACCTTGGTTTGCATGGGGGGAGTGGGGACATAATGGGGGGTTCCAAGCTCTGCCTAGAGACTTTGTCCCCTCACCCCACAGACTGCCTACTCCTGCACTCCCCACCCCAGGACTGGCCGTCCCAGGTGGAGAGGAGAGGCCCCGGGTGAATGATCTCCGGGCACCATGGGGTATTTGGGACATGGGAATAGACCACACGTCTCAATGATTGGACAAAACAAAGCCGTTTTCTAGCTGCCACCCAGGAGAGCCACTTCTGCAGGGAGGCTGAGAGCCAAGGTTTATGTCAGGTCCCTAGAGCTCATTTTTTCTCGCTGGAAACCAGCTGGAAGTTGAAATGTACCAGGGGTTCCCGAGGACCATGTCCTAGGAAGATGGCTATGGACCAAAGCGGACGGGAGCCCAGAACTCCTATGAACCCCAGAAGTCTAGAACTGGAGTGTCTATCCCTACAATCTCCCACTCACATGGGGTTCCAGAGGACGCTCCTCCACCACCATGGCAGGAGCTGCAATGCCCCGGAGCGCAGCACAGGGCCCCCGTGCACTCAGCCTGACCACAGAATCCAGGTCCGTGACGCCCTAGGACAGCTGGCCAGCTAAGTGATCTAGAAGTTCATCCAGAACTAAGGATGTCCCTCTAGAACAGTTCCTCTGCTAACTGCGCTAGAACCTCAGCTATAACTGAACCCAGACAGGATATCTTCCTAGACATTTTACCTGTTGCATTCAAACCCTTTTTTCCTACAAGGAACGCTTTAGACGCGCATCTAGAACAAAGAACGACTCCAGGAAGCATTTCCCTTGAGGGGTCTGGAACCTCACCCATAACCCAGCCCACGACACAGGGGTCTCTGGAGGAGTTCACTCGGGGAGCATTCTCGATGCTCTGGATCTGCGACCCTTGGCGTTCCAGCTAGCTCAAACCCCTCAGATGTCTCGGGTTCTCCCTCCGCTCCAGCTCTAGCACTGTCTACCTCCCACCCTCGACTCCCCACCCACCCTAACTTCCTCCCTTAAATCCTCCTCTCTGGCCCACGCTCCAAACCTTGGGCCCCACAGGAACTGTACCCACCTTGTCCACCAGACTCTCCCACCTCACCCCCCATCTTCCATAGCCTCCTTCATCCCCAGCACCCCCTCAGGAGCACAGGGCCTCGGTCACGGACCTCAGACGGGGCCCTTCCTCTGACAAGTCCACCGGGGTGACACGTGGGCAGCTCCAGGTGGGGGAGAGGGTGTGGAGCCCCCAGCACCAGAGGGGGTATGGAGGCCTCCATGAAAGCGGGCAGCGCATGAGGTGTGTAGCACCAGTTAATCCCCTGGGCCCTGGGTCGAGGGGGCGTGTTAGAAAATGGGCCCCAGGGCTGAGGGCTGGGGCCTCCATGAGGCTGTCCCTCCCCTGAAAGAACCCAGTGGTGAAGCCACTCTCCCCTTGGACCAGCAGACCCGCTTCCCCGTAGCCTGGCGGCCCTGAAATCCCAGGCTCAACACTGTGGTCGATGTGAGGTCAGCCAAGCCCATCCCTCTCTGGGGGGAGAAGCTGGGGCCTACACCGTGGTCTCATACTCCAGCAGCTCCTGCGAGGTCCCCATGCTCCGGTACTGCAACCGGGGCGTGACGGGCGAGGAGTACTCCAGGGCCAGGATGGTCTTCCGGAGCCGGCGGTCAATAAAATGCGCATCCCACGCGGGGTACTTCTTACGAGGCAGGTCAATCCGAATGACGGGCCCCTCTGTCCGCAAGGCGCGGGCCGCCGGTGTGGGAGGCAGGCCGGGCCGCACCTGGAAGACAGGCGGCGTGGGGGTCCCCGCCCGCTCCCCCCCCACCGAGACCCCGTCCCGCTCGGCGGCGCCTGTAGTCCTCGGCAGGGACCTCGGGGGGCTTGTGACGGCGTCGGCCGGGGGGCCGCGGGGCTCTGGGGCCTCCGGGCAGATGCAGCCGGGCGCCTGGGGGCCCAGCATGGGCCCGTTGGGGTGCAGGAGGCAGTAGTAGACGCACATGAAGAATATGCCCAGCGCGAAGCTGGAGGCCACCACGCAGACCAGGATGAGCGAGTGCAAGTCGGTGGAGAAGTTGCGGCTGGCGTACCAGAAGCCGGTGAGCGCCGCGTTCTCCAGCAGGACGATGCCGTAGTAGAGGGTCATGCGGCGGCGGCTGCGGCCCTCCTTGACGTTGAACCAGCAGAAGATGTAGATGATGCCCACCACCATGTTGTAGATGATCTCCTCCCACTTGGACATGCAGAAGTCCGTCTCGCCCTGGATGACCCAGAAGGTCATGACGCACCAGTGGGCCACCACGAAGATGCCGAAGTAGAGCCTGTAGACGCTGGCGAAGAGCGCGAAGGCCAGGCCGCGGGCCGCGATGGTGAACAGGTGCCAGAGCACCTGCGCCACGGCGCCCTTGTAGGACAGCGGCCGCTTGTCGTCTCGCGAGTCCCGCAGCACCTTCTGGTAGGAGGCCAGCGTCCAGGCCAGGGACACGAGGGAGGCGGAGGTGGAGAGGGCTGCGGAGACAGGGCGGGGGCGGGGCGGGCCGGGTTAGGGGTGGGTCTGGGTGGGGGTTGGGTGGAGGGGAGGGTTGCGGGTCAGGAGCTGGGCTCTGTGGAGGTGTGAGGGGAGGGGCTGTGCATCAGGCAGGGGGCAGGAGGAGGGTCTCAGTGGGTGGTCTTAAAGAGTGATGGTGGGGGGTGGGGATGGATAGAGTTGGGTGCAGTCTTCAGGGTGGGAGCATAAAAGGAGAGGGAAGGGGGGTGGTTTGGGTCTCCGTAAGGGTTAGGGCTAGGTCTCTAGTATCAGGCTGTTAGGGTTCGGGGGCTTGGTGGGAAGGTGGGGAATTCGAGTCTGGGGCTCTGGGAATGGGAAAGGAGGTGCAGAGTTGGGAGGGGATGTCACAGTCAGGGCATGGAGAGGCCAGGAGAGGACTATTAGACGTTAGAGGTCACCAGGCTGAGACTAGGGTGTGGAGAGGACTGTCCACGCTGAGCACAGCTAAGGGGACGGAGAGAAAAATCTACAGCGGCCAGAGTTTGGATGGGGGCCCCCGTAACCCTAGCGGGGAGTGCCCAGGGGGCCTGAGACCGGGTGATAGTCTTTCTGGACATTAAGCGCGGGCTGGGCAGAGTCTTGGAGGGAGGAGCCTGGGGAGCCCCAGAGAGATGGATGTGGCTTTTTGCTGACATGGACGGGGTTCTGGTCTGTTGGCGTTAGGGAAGGGTCAAGGAGGAGCTGGGTGCATAGGACCTGAGCTAGGCCCGGGACGGGTTCCCAGGGGGCGAAGAGCAGGGAGAGGGCGGATGGACAGGCTCTCTGGAAACCGTGATTGGGCAGGTCTGCGAGTCAGGGAGTCCCCGGAGAGGTGCACGCTGGGAGCAGGACAGTTTGGAGAATGAAGTGGGTGGGGAGGGCCTGAGGTGTAGCGAGGGGGTCAAGGGCCTCTTTGGACTTGGGCAGCAATGGGTCTGGTCTGCCCTGACAATGGGGAAGGGAGGAGGGTCCGGACGGGGGACGAACCCAGAGGACTATGGGAGGGGACATGGAGGTCTTCACCGGCCTGGAGCGGGGTGAGAGCAGAAGGGGCTGCAAAACCTCGGCAGGGAGCGGGGAGGGGCCTGCAGCAGGAAGCGCTGACACTGGGGCAGTCAGAATACGGAATACTGGAGAGGAGTGAGCCCGGGCTGGGGCTGGGGCGGGGCCGCAGGGCATCTCCGGAGCACGGCGGGCGGGCGGGAGGGCCAGGGGCGGCTCACCGGGCAGCAGGTCCGGGCGGCCGCCGCGGTGCATCAGCAGGCTGAGCTGCAGCACGAGCTGCGGCGCGCTGCGCAGGAAGGTCTCCAGCAGGCGCAGCATGCTCACGTCCGCGCTCTCGAACAGCATCCGCCAGTAGAAGTGGCGCCGCAGCCGCTCCCCGCGCCAGCGGCTCTGCAGCCCCAGGTACATGGTGCGCAGGTACCTGCCGGAGGGACGCGGTGCTGAGGCGCCCACTCCGAACCGAACCTGGCCCGTGCCACACAGAGCCTAACACCACAAACGTAAAAGGAGCGTTTGGAAAGGGGACCCCCTTCTGGGGCTGTGGTTGGGGAATTGCGGATGGGCTCTTCGGCTTAAAGCAGGGACACAAAGGAAAGTAAGGCTTAGCACAGCATTCCCATCAACGCTGCTCTGCCACATGGGGGCCTGCTTTCTTCCCCGGATTCCTGGCTCCCTACAGGGCCCTGGGCTTACAACAGCCCTGCTATTATCCCCATTGTATAGATGAGAACACGGAGACCCAGAGAGGTATGTCATTGGTCCAAGGTCACACAGCTAGGAAGCATTCACACCCAGGCAGCCTGGCCTCAGGGCTCACCTTCTAACCATTAAGCAACTCGGCCTCTCCCTGCTTGCCGCTAAGAGTTTGCCTACGCAGGAGCAGTTCCTGGTGCCACCCCCAGTTCTGTGGCCACCAGCAGCTTTCTGGCGTGTAGCCAAGCCCACCTCTGAGTGCCCATTCTCCCCACGGGCTAGAGGAGGCTGCTTAGAGACCCTGTGGCCTTGGAGACTTTGCTGCTTCTTCTCACTTCTCCCAACAAACGTCATGCCTCCAGCTACTCTGCACAGGCCACAGGCTCCAGCCCACAGTCCTCCTCCTCACACTGGGCTTTTGCAACTGCTGTTTCCTCTGCCTGGTAACACCCCTACTCCAGCCCCCAAACAGGATAACTCATGCTTTTCCCCCCAAGGCTCAGCTCATAAACATGATTTCTTCCTGGATCCTCCACGGACCACTCTACACTTGGAGTAGGGGCCTCTCCCAGGCTTCCCTCCAACCCAGCACTTTTCACAGTGGGTGTCACTGTCTGCTTATGCACCCACCGCCCCACACTGTGGGAATGATTGGGGCGGCTTGCTAACTGCTGTGTCTCCAATTCTTACCACGGAGATGCTCGATCTGTGTGTTGCCTGAATGCATAAATGAATGAACGCGTGAGTGACTGAAAGTTTAACTGAATGGAACTCTGGTAACCCAGTAGGGGGGCATGGAGGGAATCCCAAAGTCCTGAGATCAGTTCCTCACTGAGTTGTGTCATCTTGAGCAAGAAGGCCCTCTCGGAGCCCTGCCTGTGAGGTTAAGTGGGTGAGATCCTTGGTGACTGTGAACTGCAGTGCCCACTGGGTGCCAAGGGACTGTCCACACAGGTCTCTGCATCTGATCTCTCTTCTCCGTCCTGGTGCCTGGCCCAGCAGCTCCACCCCTGGCGGTTGCAACCATAGACACTGGCGCCCCAACCCCCAAATTCTCTGACCCATGCCTTTTGCTGAAACCAGAGAGGACTCCTTTAGAAGTGATCTCCCCATAAACCGGGGGGGGTGGGGGGGGTGGGAACACAACATAGTCAGTGACCTTGTTGCCTCCATCAGACGTTGGGGAACCAGGGATTTCCCGGAAACGGAGTGCTGGCGTTTTCAGAGGGTTGTTTAGAGGCCAACAGCACTCAGCTGTGTACAGCCAGCCCACGGGAGGAACCGCAGTGCTGCCTGAAATGTGGGACCCACTGATAGACCCAGAGCTTCTCCAGTGAGTATCCTGGTCTTAGCATGGTGGGCCCTCTCTGGGCCTCGGTTTCTCCAATAGGGATGGGTTTGATGACTCTGGAGAGCCTTTCAGAGCAAATGTTCTCGGATCCAAACTCTCCCCTGAAAATGTGGCTGGAAACATCCCAGTTGGGGTTCTCCTTGCCATCCCCGATCCTTCAGCTAACTCTCCTGCCCAACGTTGACATTCCCTCTAGCAGTTCTTGTCCGCGTGCTTTACACGCTCTGCTCATACACTTTGTGGTAGGGAGTCCCTGTCTCCAGAGGTGGGCCTTCTGCTTCCGAGCAGCTCCAGGCGGGTTATGTTTCTCTGATGAGCAGACATTTGTCTCCTCCCTGTATTTTTTGTTCTATACCTACACCCTCACATAAGGATCCCTGCAGCCAGAATCACTCATTCACATAGCAAGTGTAATATGACCACTTGCTATGTGCCCTGTCCTGTGCCTTTAAGTGTCTCTCACTCCCGTGGGAGAGACATGGTAAGAGCTGAAATAGATGCTCTGAGATGCTGAGGAACCCAGAGAAGAGATGGGTGACTCTGGCTGGGAGGTTAAGGGGGTCAGGGAAGACTTCCTGGAGGAAGAAACAGTTTTAAAGCATGGGCAGGTATTTTAAGGCACACAGTGGGTGGAAGGGCTTTCTGTGTTGTTTTTTTTGTTGTTGTTGTTTTTTTAAAAATATATTTTATTGATTTTTTACAGAGAGGAAGGGAGAGAGACAGAGAGCTAGAAACGTCGATGAGAGAGAAACATCGACCAGCTGCCTCCTGCACACCCACTACCGGGGATGTGCCCACAACCAATGTACATGCCCTTGACCGGAATCGAACCCGGGACCCTTCAGTCTGCAGATCGACGCTCTGCCGCTGAGCCAAACCGGTTTCGGCGGGCTTTCTGTTTTTTAAAATATATTTTTATTGATTTCAGAGAGGGAGAGGGAAAGGGAGAGGGAGAGGAAGAAACATCAATGGTGAGAGAATTGTTGATCGGCTGTCTCCTGCATGCCCCCTACTGGGGATGGAGCTGGCATATGCCCTTGACAGGAATCGAACCCAGGACCCTTCAGTCTGCAGGCTGACGCTCTATCTGCTGAGCCAAACCGGCAAGGGCAATGGAAGGGCATTCTAGATGGAATAATCAGCTGAACAAAGGCACAGAGGCATGAGAGAACGTGGCCTTTTAGGGGACTGGCCAGTGGTTTGTCAGGAAGGAGGGTTTATGGACAGGGGCATAGGAACACTAGAACTGCGAAGGGCATCACATTCTGGACTGAAGAGTTCATATTTTATTCTAAATTTGAATTCTATCCCAGAATCAGGGGTGATGGGATGAGCTCAGTGGCTCAGAAAGCTTGGTCTGGAGGCTGGTTTGGAGGAAAGCCAGGAGAGGCTGGGGCTTGGTCCAGGCCTGGAATGACAGGGCCTCGCTCAGGCAGGGCACAGAGGAGGGGCAGAGAACAGAGCTGGGGAGCTGTGTGGGGATCCTAGGGGAGAGACCAGGTTGGCCCTCAGAGATTCTGAGGGCCCAGAACACAGACCACCTTTCTCAGCCCCCATCTCTTCCAGACCCCGTTCCCTTCCCCGTTCCCATGGCTCTGGCTTTGAGCAGGAAGGAGAGACCAGCTGGTCCAACATGAAGGGGCCTGGGGAGTTGGGGGAGGGCGACACCCTGGAAGTTTCTCTCAGGCTGGTGGAAGACCATCTGTTTCCTGGCCCTGGTCAGCATGAGGGAGGCCCCAGCCCAGCCAGCATCCATCACCACCTGACAGGCCGCCTGCCCCCCTCCCCGCCCACTCCTGCCAGCTCCCAACACCCACACCCCAGCTAACCACAGACAAAGGGCTCCCTCAGCCCAGAACCACAGAGCGCCGGATCAGGGAAGGGGTAGGGGAAGAAAGAAGGCCTCTGAGACCCCAAAACTTGCGGTCAGCAGGGAGCATAGAGAGATCATGTCACAGTTGGGGGGATGAAAGGGCTTAGGTTCAGCAATTCTCTGCCTGTGTTGGCAACAGAAGCAAGATCTGTGGCTGTTCCTGCCAGCCCCGCTGCATGCTCACTGCCAAGGGCCTGCAAGGTTTTTATGGGGCTAAGACAATGTGTGAGGCCTGGGGGAGGGGTAGAGGGTGGGGGTGTGAGATTGGCTCTATAACACAGGGGAAAAACTGCAGAATCAAAATTAATAAATGTTTAATTAAACGTCTGCAAAAAACAGCGCATGATATCAGCCAGTCAACTGCAATTTGGCTTCTATCTGGCTGTATGTAATTTGCACTTGATGTTTGATATACGTAGCTGCATTTTAATATGCTTCATAGGTGTGGGGCCCACAGAGGTCTTTAAACAGCCCTGCCCAGGACATGCGTCCTAATTCCCCGGAACCTCAGTTTCACTGTCTCTGAAACGGCGTCAGCACTCACCCTCCTTGTCTACATCACCGCTCCCACGGTGAGAATGAGAACGGCAAGATGGGCAAGATGGTGATAGGCTGAGTGTGTGGGTTTGCTGCCCGGCCCCCACCCTGAATGCTCTGTGGCCTTGGGTAGTCTCTGCCTCCCTGAACCTCATTTTCATCCTCGTGTGAGCATTTGGAAAGCGCAGAGGATATGCACATAAGGGGGAGGGATGCCAGCTAGGTGGAGGCCGCTGGCTCCTCCCTCATCATCAGCTGCTCTTTAGACCTCCCCCAGCCCTGACTGGTTTGCCTCAATGGATAGAGCGCCGGCCTAAGGACTGAAGGGTCGCAGGTTTGATTACGGTCCGGTCCGGGGCATGTGCCTTGGTTGCAGGCACATCCCCAGCTAATCAATATTTCTCTCATTGATGTTTCTAGCTCCCTATCCCTCTCCCTTCCTCTCTGTAAAAAATCAATTACCTATATATTATAAAAACCTCCCCCAGGAAGCCCATTCTGCTTGAAAGGAAGTTGGGAGAGATTAATCTTCACCACAAATGGGACCGATGCCACCCACAGAGAAGGAAGCTCCGTCTCAGGGAAAGGAACCTAGTGGTGGGGAGGGCGGGAAGCGATGTATCTGCTCTCCCCCAAAACGCATCCCCAGTCCTTCCCTCCATTCTCTCAACGGCCACCACCCTGGTGGTCCAGGCCATGGTGGGCTTCCTGCAGCCACATGGCAACCAGCAGGGTGTTTTGAAAATCCGTCAGATGATGTCTCATTCCGCTCCTTAAAACTTTCAAGGGCCACCCACCACACCTGGAACAAAACCCAAGCTCCTGGCTTGGTCTGCGGGCCCTAAACCATCGGGCCCCGCCTATTTCTCTCTTCTCCTCTTACACCGGCCTGTGCCCTTTGTTCTCAGCCTTCCGGTGCCCCCAGGCGTGCTCAAGCCCAGCCCACGTGCTCCTCACTCAGGGCCTT